TAGCCTCCAGAACCATAAGATGGTAAGTTTGTGGTGGGGCATGGTGGAGCATGCCTGTAATCCCAACAATTTGGGAAACTGAGGCAGAAGGATCACAAGTTCAAGGCCAGCCTTAGCAACTTATCCAGGGCCTAAGCAACTCAGTAAGACCCTGTTTCAAAATTAAAAAAAAAAAAAATGACCGAGAATATAGCTCAATGGTAAATGCTTCTGGGTTAAATTCTCAGTAGTCCCTACCCTCAGGGGGAAACACACACACACACACACACACACACACACACTAAGTTTCTACTATTTTAAGCCACTTTGTTCCTTTTTTTATATTCCATTACAGCAAACTTAGGAAATTAATGCAAAGTATATTGAGTGATATAGTTTAAAGTGAACAGAAATTGGATATAAACAGTGACAGTGAGATATGTTAGTCAGCTTTTTGTCGCTGTGACCAAAATACCTGACAAGAACAACACAGAAAAGGAGACATTTATTTAGGCTCACAGTTTCAGAGATTCAGTCCATGGTCAGCTGACTCCACTGCTCTGGGTCAGGGTGGGTGGAGCCAAACTTTATAGTGGAAGGGCATGGTAGAGGAGCATTGCTCCCCTCATGGGAACCAGGAAGCCAAGAGGGAGGGGAAGTGGCTGCAGGGTACATGAACCCTTCCAGGGCATGCCCCCACCACACTGGACCTGCCTACAGTTATCAGCCTACAATTACCTGCCCCTAGTAAGTTCATTCAACCTAGGATGGCTCTTACAACCCAATCATTTTGCCTCTGAATATTCCTGCATTAACAGGAGCTTTTGAGGATACACCTTACATCCAAACCATAATCTGTGCTGTTCATAAAAAGTCATGAATCTAAAAGACATTAATGAGGTAAAAGAAACAAGAGTGCTAGGTGTGGTGGCAGTCACCTGTAAACCCAGCTACTCGGGAGGCTGAGGCAAGTAGAACACCTGAGCTCAGGAATTCAAGGCAAGCCTGGATAATGTCATGAGACTCCCCCCATCTCCAGAAGGAAGAAGAGGGAATGGAAGAAAGAAAGGAAGGAAGGGAGAGAGGGAGGGAGGAAGGAAAGAAGGAAGGAAGGGGGCTTAGTGATGGACTGAATATGCCAAAGAAGAAGGAGGAGTCCAAGATAGAAGAAGCTTTTTTTCTATCTTAATCAACCTTAAGTGGTGTCTAAACTACTTTGGTGTCTTTGTTACATTTCTCCCAAGGCCAGGGATCTTATAAATATCCCCTTATTACTTCCCCTGGATAGTGTTAACAAATCAAGCTATGCTTCTGACCTCTTATTCAAACCTTTCTTTGGGCTAGAATTCCATTTTTCATTATGTTGGTTTATAATATCTTTACAATATCCTGTTCTTTATATCCAGTCCCTTTAAGAGACTTTAGTTGACCTGCCCACTTTTTTCCCATTTGAGTTTTGTCCTGAATGTTATCTATGAAATTATTCTTAGCTATGAATTCTTTCACCTTTAGATCAATTCTGTCTCTTCACTATATACAGCACAACCCCCACCCCGTTACAGCTCAGATTTAATACTACAAGCTCTCACTTATCTAGAGAGCTAAAATAGATACTTAAGCCATGAACCAATCTGTAAAACACAGAAAAAGAAAACATGTGAAGAATGATACTGAGTTCACTTTTGGACATTGTACAGAATAGGTACTTTTTCCCCCCACAAAGGCAAGACATTGACCCCACTTTCCTCAAGACTACAACTACTTCATACATCCAATCAAAGCAGATGGTCTAGTACATGTTCCTATCCAAATGACCAGATATTTTAACATGTGTATTCAGCTTTCTATCACTATAACAGATAACTGAAATAATCAATTTATAAAGAGGAAAGGTTAACTCCAGCGAATAGTTTTAGAGGTTTCAGTCCATGAGTGGTTGGCCCTATAGTTTTAAGCCTGTGGCAGCACATCATGGCAGAAGCATATGGTAGAGTCAAGCCACTTACTGCATAGCTGGGAAGTGAAAGAGAGAGAGGAAGGAGACTGGGTCCCACAATCCCCTTTGAAGACACACCTCCCAGTGATCTAAATACTTCCACCCAGTAGATCCCACTTCTTAAAGGTCCACCACCTCTGAATAGTGCCAAGCTGCTGACCAAGCCTTTAACACAACCTTTGGGGAACATTTAAGGTCCAACTTATAGCCGGTATGAACACCTTTTCCAAACTGAACCAACAAAACTGTCTCTATAGAGGAACAGAAATTAAACTCTGTATGTGTCTAAATATCTAACACAAAATTAATGCAGCAGCTATAGTCTTCCCTATAGACTATGCAGCAGAGAAAAAAATAAGCAGATGTTAGAAGGAAGTAAAGATGAGAGAGATGGAGAGATATGGGTTCTGTAGTGTAGTTTTCTTTTTCTTTCTTTCTTTTCTTTTTTTTTTTTTTTGTCCCAATACCTTTCTGATGCCAGCAGCTTTTCTGCTTGTGAATTCTATAAAAACATGTCTACATCCTTAGGACAAGTGCACTCATCTTTTTATATTACCCTCACTGGAGTTTGTTTCAAAGAATCCTAAACAACACAGATGTATTGAGTATAAAATGTGAACTTCTAAGAGGAGAGTAGTTGGAAATACAAGTCTAAACTTAAAGCACAAGTTGTAGGAGAGTGTATGGTTTGGGTAAGGGAGTAACTGAAATCACTGGAGTAGATGAAGTTCTTCATAAAGGTGTAAAGAGATGAAGTAAAAAGGGGGAAGAGATGAAGGATGAAGATCAAAGAATCTTCAATATTTAAGATATGGATCACAGAAAGAGGAGTCAGTGAAGAAGTTTAAAAAGAACAGAAAACCAGGAAAAATGATTTTGTGGAAACCAAGAAATATAAGTGTTTAGGTTGTACTACAGAAAACGGAGCCACTAATAGTTGCAACGGGTGTTAATTTATTTGTCTCAATGGGCTGTACAGAACTGGTATAACACATAAGCAAAGTCATCAGGGACCCTGATTCCTTCTCCTACCATCTTCATGGCACAAGATGGTTGTTACACCTTCCAGGGAGTAAGAAAGAAGAAAAAGTGAAGGGTGCCATGCCCTTACAAAAAGAAGAACTTTACAAGACACGACACTACACACACACACACACACACACACACACACACCTCAATGGTCAGAACTCCGGCACTTGGTTATCCATAACTGAAGGAATGGTAGGAGGTCAAGGACAATGATAGCTAAAGATAGATGATAGTGGTGTGGGAAGTGAGGATAGTGAAGGTGGGGAGTTGGATTTAATAATTACAAAGTTCCTAGCAACCTTATCTAAAGCAATTGTTTCATGGGTATAGTAGGCATAGAAAGTATATTAGGGTTATACTAGACTTACTGAAGACAAATTAGTAGGTGAGTAATGAAAATAGATGGTTCTTTCTGATGTGTGAAAAGGAGAATTAATGGAGAAAGCAAAAATCTGAAGGAAAGGCATAATGAAGAGGTGTTTTGCTTGGTTTTAAGATTGTGGATAATTGTATTACGTTTATAGGCTGAGAGATAGGAACAAATGGAGAGCCAGAGAGTTGAGGTATAAAAGGCATAAAATAAAGGTCAACTGTTAGGGGAAAGCCCCAAAAGATAAATGACAAGGCATTCTTAAAAGTAAAACCTCTTACTCCAAATCAAGAAAGGAAGTAAGGACAAACAACAGTAGTGGTAGCAGTTAGATGTATCTAAGAAAAAAAAAAGTGGAATTGTTGAAAATTTTGTTTCAGTAAGCATGAACTTTAAAACCATTTTTTTAGGTTTCTTTATTTTTTTATTAGCACTTTATGGTTATACATAGTAGTTGGTCATCCCAACAAACTCATACATGCGTGATAATCGGTTTCAGTTCATGATCCCCCTTCCTCCTCTTCTACTAGACTCCCTTTCACCTATTAATTTGCATTTGATTGTTTCTTCATTTAATCTTATCCTTCCCTCCCCTTCTTCTTTATCTTACTCTAGCTTCCGCATATGAGAGAAAACATAGGATCTTTGGGTTTGGCTAATTCCATTTAGCATATTCTCCATTTCCATCCATTTACCAGCAACACCATAATTTCATTTAAAAAAAAAAAAGTCGTTTAACTTAGATTTAACTTTTTAAGAATACGTTTTGGATTCACTACTATTTAATTTGAGGAAAGGCATGAGAAGGTAGTAAATTCTCTCTAGAATTTAGTTTTGCTAGATGGTTGACCAAACAATCCGAGACTAACTGTAGACTCCCCGCTCCCCCCACCCCCCACCCCCCCATTATAGAGAAGAGCTGGAACTTTTATGAGCATCTAAACATTTCACTTTTTTTCTCCCTTCCTTCTCCAAGGTCGTGGGCCCCAAAGGACATGAAGGAAATACGCGATATTTTTCTCAAAAGACAGTGAAGAGACCACACCACGGTAGCAAACAACAATGGGTAGTCCTTATTAGAAGCATTCAGAAGTAGTTCCGCAAATTTATTTTGATCATGTTTTCAACTCCTTTGCCTTAGAACACTTAGGAGGTGGCGCTCAACAAGACTAGACAATAGAAAGCCGCCAAGCGGGACCTTCAGAAGGGCGGAATGTAACAAATCGATTAAAGAAAAAGCAGGAGAACAGAATAAAGCTATGGCCTCCTGCTCTTCCAAAATCAGAGCCCTAATCTGACAAGCCCGCCGGGACGCCCGTAAGATAATCACTCTCACTTTTCATTGGCTGACCCTCTCGGAGTTGAGACCTTGATTTATTTTCATTGGTTGTTGCTGCCGTCACGTCCTTTCGCCACTCCCACTTTCGCGTCAGCGCCCAGTGAGCTTTGGAGTAAAGTGATTTACAGCGGTCAGGGGCGGGAACTGGCGTGCCGCAAGCGTGTCTCCCCCTCTCGGGCGCCGCGGTCCCCGCCCCGCCCCCCAGCCTGAGGCCCCGCCCCCGCCCAGCCGGGCCCCGCCTCTCCCTCCCAAGAGGGCGGGGACCAGGCGGCGGCCACAGCCGCAGGAATATGCTGGAAGCCGGCAGGCTGGCGCCCGGGAGGTGCTGAAGGGACAGTTCCCGCGCCGAACTTGCCCGGCCGAGCGCGGGTGGGGCGGCCCGGAGCCGGTGGGGCACGTGAGCCATGGAGACCATCTGGATTTACCAGTTCCGCCTCATCGTGATCGGGGACTCCACCGTGGGCAAGTCGTGCCTCTTGCACCGCTTCACCCAGGGCCGCTTCCCCGGGCTGCGCTCCCCTGCCTGCGACCCCACGGTCGGCGTGGACTTCTTCTCCCGCCTGCTGGAGATCGAGCCGGGCAAAAGGATAAAGCTGCAGCTCTGGGACACGGCGGGACAGGAGCGGTTCAGGTAGGGCCGCCTGCGCCGAGACCACGGGGACCCAGAGGGCGGGCAGCCACCCCGCCTGCCCAAACGGCCCCTCCCCAAGCGCCGGCCCCGCCAGCCCTGGTCCGGAGAGGCTTTGGCCCTTCCCTCCTGAAAGTGCAAACACTCCATTCTTGCTTCCCCTTTGCCCCTCCTCTTCCAGGGACGACTTCCTCCTCCGCAATTTCTCACTTCTTTCTTTGGCGCCCACTTCCTGCGCCCCCTTTCTATTTCTCCTTTCCCGCCTGAATCAGGGTCACCCTCGCGTTCCCTTCTTCCCCAACTCTTTCTGCCCCTGATGGCATTTTGATCCCCTTGGGCTCCGCCGCTGTTTTCTCCCCTGTCCGGCTTCCAGTCTGAGCACTCTACGATCCGATCATCTTCCTCCAAGTGCCCCTTTTCGTGCCCTAACCAAGAGGCGCCCTGTCTACGCGGCCGGGGAGAACTGTGAAGTAGTGTTCCCTGATTCGTGATTGATCCTTAAGCTTGACAGCAAGCAGAGTCCCAACCCAGGCTACTGCATGAGCTCACTGGGCATGGTTCACGGGGAGATGGATGCGGTAATGGTTTGAACACCTCACAGCACCGAATGTGGTCATCAGAAAATACTGGGCCATGACCCGTGGGAATGGTTTATAGGACAACTACGTGCAACATCAGGGACATTGGCACTGCTGAAGTTGTGTGAGTGTGTGAGGTGGGGATAGGGGGTGTTTAAAGGTTCGAATTGTCTAGAAGTTTGTCACCATTGGTTCGTTGCTGGGGTGTGGGGATATATCTATCTATCTACTTACAGAGAGGCGGGGGCGGGGGGGGGAAGAAATTTGTCAGGAGCTTCTTTATTTCACTTATGATCGCTTCTTAATGTACCAGGGTGATAATAGAACAGAAAATAGATTTCTAAATAGAGAAAGAGGGACCCAAATAGCCTCATTCTAAAGGTTCACTGGGAGTCTAAAGGATTTCACAAAGGCAGCTCATGTAACTAAATAGTAAACGAAACTCTGCGCAATTCCTTGGATATTTGAGATTGATCCAAATTTAAAGCACATTTTCAAATCCTATGATTCAAGGACACTTTATTTTAAAGGAAAGTAAGAAAGCCGATATCTTATAGTGTTTTGGTTCTTAATGATCACATTATCATTTGAATCTCATTTAAGCAAGCATTTTGTGTTCCTCAGCAAATACTCTGTTCGTGAAATAGTGTTCCTTGAGGGGACTTCCCAAACATGGCTTCCCCTTACCCCCAGCCAGCATCCATCCGAATGAGATCAGCCTACATCTTGAGAATGTCCAATATTCAGAATTTTGGCTTTCATTCCCAGCTGTGACACTGATTCATAGAGATAATAAGGGAACTGCTTAGCTTGCTTATACATTAGTTTTCTTGTGTATGAAATGGAAAGTTGGTAAGGCCTATCTTCTGACAGGTGTGAAAACTTATTGATTTGATTTATACAATACTTGAGATTCCATGAAGAAATTCTGTTTCTTTTTCAAGAAGTCTTCTTTAATTAAAATAGCTTTTCAAACTTGTCATTCGTCTGTGAAAGGCAGGTGTCATTATGATCTCAAAGATTTCTTCCCAGTTTTAACTCTCAGGTTGGTTGTAAATTTTTCTGTGATCTCAATCAGAGATGAACTTTGAAATGTTTCAGGTGTAGAAAAAAACTTTTATTAAGTAACTCTTTCTCTATCCTCTAAACAGTACAATAAAAACATGACATTTGTGCCTTCAACTTCAAGTAACTTCTAGGAGTTACAACTACAAGAAACATAGGTAATAAAATCTTACTGTGTCTAATTGTTTGCTTATAAGTAAGTGACTCCTCAACTTTTTGACAAGAAAGTAAAGGATAATTAATTTGTTTGACTTTAAAGACCTTTTTGCTAAATAGATGATTGGGTTTTAATGCTTCTGAGAAGAATGTAAATAGTAATTCATTTTATATACATTATTAAAAGCACACAGTAACTCTTTCATTGTAATGCAAGGACATTTAGGGAATGTTTACTGACAATGAGTCATACTTTATTTTGTTTGGCTCTTTACCAAAGATATATTCACAAATACATATTTCAGTAGCTATGTCCAAATGCTTAGCTTTTCTATCATGTAGCAGAATGTTTTACTATAAAATTGCATTTAAAGTGATTACTATTAAATCATCTTGTATCTTTATCCAGAAAAATATACTTACTTTGAATAATAGATATTCTTGCACATTTTATTTCATAGAAAATGATACTTGAAGATACATTCCTGTGATTTCTCATAATCACACCATGAGAAATTTTTGGTAAACACTGTATTTGGGGGACTGGGCTATAACTCAGTGGTAGAATGTTTGACTCCTATGTGTGAGGCACTGGATTCGATCCTCAGTACCACATTAAAATAAATAAAGATATTGTATGTCCATGTACAACTAAAAAAAATAGTAAAAAAAAAAAACTGTATTTGGAGGTTTATTGGTGGTTAGACATAAACTTACAAAAGGATCCTACTTTAGAAGCTTATGGAGTAGCTTAACATAAAAATATGGAATATTACTCAGCAATAAAAGAGAATAAAATCATGGCATTTACAGGTAAATGGATGTAGTTAGAGAAGGTAATGCTAAGTGAAGTTAGCCAATCTCAAGGAGGCTGATTCATAGTGGGATAGAGAGAGGGAGCATGGAAGGAATAGATGAACTCTAGATAGGGTAGAGGGGTTGGAGGGAAAGGGAAGGGGCATGCGGTAATTAATGATGGTGGAATGTGATGATCATTATTATCCAAAGTACAGGTATGAAGACACAAATTGGTGTGAATATACTATGTATACGACCAAAGATATGAAAAATTATGCTCTATATATGTAATAAGAATTGTAATGCATTCTGCTGTCATATATAAATAAAAATAAACAAATAAAAAATATGGCTCAGAACAATAGAACAGCTGATAATTATGATCATGATTAGCTTGTTTTCAGTCTTTAGATTAACGTATTCTAGTAAATGATAACTACCTATATGACATAAAAAGGAACAAACTCAAAGTGAAAAAAGTTTTCAAACAAGTGTATATGTGAAAAAAAAAGTGTATATGTGACCATATTCTAAACTATAATATAAACTTAGATATTAATTTTCTGTTATTAACATTTCTTTAATGAAGGAAAATGTTAAATTTCTGTATTAGGGAAACTCAGAATTACCGTGCCTTCAATAAAAATAGAAGTTTATTTTTCTCTCATATAATACCTAGGCCCCATATCTTATGTAATAATAATATAATCATAATAATCTCAAGGTAAGTGGTTCAAGTTTGTGTAGTAATTCTGCTCTAGGTATCATTCAGATACCTTATCTTTTAGTTTTCTGCCATCCCTAGGACATTTTCATCATCTGCATGCACAAAAATTGGATTGCAGGCACACCATGTAGGCTCAGAGCAAAGGGAAAGAGATCTAAACCAAGTGATGTTCCTTTTGAAAAAATTAGGACAACATGGTACAGACCATTTAGACTGTCACTTCCTTAAAGAGAACTTTAGTTACAAGGCCACACAGACTAGGCCACCATGTGCCCAGGAGGTAGGGAAGATGTTTGGCATTGTTGTTGGGAACACTATCAATCACTACTTTTAATAGTTTTTTTTTTTTTTTCTTTTTCTTCTCTTTCTCACCTCCAATACTGGGAATTGAACCCTGACTGCCCTACCACTTTTTAAAAATATTTTTTAAATTTTGAGGCAAGATCTTACTGAGTTGTCCAGGCTGACCTTAATCTTAAAATTTTCTTGTCTTAGCCTTGGAGTTGCTAGGATTATAGGCATGTATTGCTACACCTAGCATCACTTTTTAAAAATTTTAATCACAGGAGAAGTGTCACAGTAAAGAAAATAAGAATAATGCTTAATACAGTGCTAATAAGGATAAGTATAGTAGTAGGCTGGAAATATGGAAAGCATTAAATATAAGAATATAAATTTTGAACTTTTTCCATAAAAAACATTTAAAGTAATAAAAATATAAAGTTTTATGATTTGGATGTGGTTTGTTTCCCAAAGATTCATGTATGGAAGCTTGGTTCCCTACATGGCAGTATTAGGAAATAGTGGGACCTTTAAGAAGTGGGCCCTAGTATAAGGTAATTTTGGGGTTATTATGGGTATCACCTTTGAAAAGAATTAAGTAATTCTTATGGGACCCCAGTTAGTTCCACAAGAGTGAACTATTATTAAAGAGTTAGTCTGGGTCCTCTCTGCTCTCTGGCTTCCTATCTTGACATGTGATCTCTCCCTTTTACACGTTTCCACCATGATACCATCCCCTATGACATAATGTAGTCAAGGAGAGCCTCACCATTCCCAGAGCCATGTAGTTGGGACTTTTTGCCTCCAAAAGTAAACTAAATAAACCTCTTTTCTTTATAAAACCTCTGATATTTTATTATAGTAACAGAAAATGAACTAATACATAAAGTGGAATAAGGAAGTAGCAATGTTGATGATAGGAATATGAAATCTCCAGGATTCAAGACAGATTTGGCCTTTTTTCCACATTGTCTGTGGTCTTGGGGTGTTGTAGTTATAGCCACTGAATATAAAGGTCAGAGAATAATGTCCTCCTCCTGCAGTGCTTGCAGGGTATTTTCTGCAGATCATATCCATTGTGATTCTTTTTGAAAGATGAGTTCTGTGATCATATAAGTTTGGACATTTCTGTATTCCATATAACATTTCCTTTAAAATTCATATCTAAGCTCTAAGAATTGCAGCAAAGAAACCTGCTTAACTTTGATTAAACTCCATTTCCCAAATTTATTTGAGGGACTATTTTCAAAATATGAAAATCTATGATGACAGTGTTCTAAGGACTGTCATTTGGGAAAAGCTCCCTCTGATGATGAATTGCTTTAGTCACTTGGGGGTGGTGGGAGGGCAGAATTACTACATATTTAAAGTTTGGAGTAATGGAAGACATGCATACA